CAGTAAATATTGGTTGCCTGCTTGAGTAAATTTATGTCGTGTTTGCGCCTCAAGGAGCAAGCAGAGTGTAGAAATTCAGTTTGTGACCTTGTATCTTTTGACCCACATCTTGACAAGCTCAAATCCTCTACTTCCTTATAATTAATCACACTGTAATAAAATTAAGTTTCCAAGTGGAAGATAATTTTCAGAGTGCAATTCTTTGTTGTTAAGCAACATGTGTCAAGTAGGTTATTAGGTGTAGGGGGGCAGGTCATCAGTTTGAAATTTTCATTTTTAGCAGACAGAAAGCATAAGGAAAGGCAGAACTCATTTTCATATTCTATTTAATTTGATCATATAAAAATTATCTCAACAAATATAAGGAAGCCCAATGTTTTCCATTAGGCGTCTATATTTATTTTGTTGAATCAACTCTATAGATATACCTGCAGCGTTTTGTCTTCCTAAGTGCAATATTGTTTATTTTCATATCCTATTTTCTCTCTCTAGCATCAAGACTTTTTAAATCAACATTCAATTATCACCAAATGACTTTTCTGCCTATTTCAGAATGATTTTAAGCAGTGTTTATTTTATTAAAGAATTTTTATATCTGCCTTGGGATAATGCAATTAGAATTTTCCCCTTATGCAATCACTATGGAACCCTTTGCATGAGAGAATAAAGAAAGTCAACAGAGAAGGAAAATTGTTTTGTTTTCTTTTTAAAGGGTAGAGAAGATTTTGTCCTGTTTTAAAAGGTGTTTTTTGGCACTCTTTGCAATTCGGCAAATCAGAGGACTTGATCATGTGCTTAGAACTTAGGGCATCTTGACTTAGGTATATTAGACTAAGCTTTAGTTATGGCTTAAATTTTTTTCTAAAGTTCTGCCAGTTTTATTATTGGGATCATGATAGGTTTTTTTCCATTCCAAAAATGACAAAATTCAGATCCAATGGATGGCATAATCTAGTAAGGAAGAAAATACATGACAGATCAAACAAAATTGTGGGTGAAATGAGGTTTTGAAATCCCCATCAAAGGTCACTAGGAAGCAGTGCAACTTTTCAAAGATCATAGAGGTCCAGCAAAAATGGTTAATGCATCCAAAGAGGTAAAAGCAACAGGGAACATAATGGTTCAGACTGTCAATTTTATTGGGTCAGGCAATTGGAGGATAATTTGCTCCCAGTGATCATGGAGCCAGTACCTTCTACCCAACAACAGGTCCCTCTTAACTTCAATTCTCTCTTTGGAATCTTTCTACTTCATTGCCACATTTCAAATGCCAATTTCAGACACAGGATTTCAGGAATCAGGTTAGGAATGCAGGTTCTCAGATTTGCTCCTTACTAGCTGTGCATTACGAAGCAAGTCACTTAACCTCCCTGTGCTGAGATTCCTCTTCCTTAAAACTGAGTTTGTTTTGATGCTTGCTTCATGAGATTATCATCAAATTATATTAGCTGTTACATTCAAGGCAGTTCAGGACCTGCTGCACAGTAAATACTCATGAAATCTTAGCTGTAGCTATTAATTAAAAAAAAATCAATAACATATATTATGCAGCCATATTGTCATTATTGTTAATATCCCTGTAATCTCAGATATATTGCTACACAGCCCAAATGCCAAGTCTTCCATTAAGCTTTCCCTCTTCACCAATTGGAATTAATTACTCTTCTGTATTCTTATTTACTTTTTCCTGTATGTTTATTATAGCCCTTAATACTTAATGGATTTTATTATGTATGTCCTGGAAACTTGGGACCATTTCTTACCCATCCTTTTAATCAAGCCTGCACATAGTAATTATTTTAAATTAAACAGCATTGTGGTGGAGAGGATAAAAAGTGTGACCCTGATGGGATAAGTGTTTTAATTTGTTCTCACTGCAAGAATGGGGAGGAGTTGGCCTTGCAGGGTGAGGGTCACCGTATCTTGAAACTTCACTAGTGTAACTTGTGAGCTCTTAGCTGTGTCTTTGATTCTTAGCTTAGATTGCAGTTGTTACTTTTCAGATGACGCAGACTCTGTCTTAGGTCGAATATTCGTTATCCAATTCAGAAAGAAGTTTCCCCAGATGGAAAGACTTGAATTATTTATGCAGTGTTTATCTCTGAGTTTACTTCCCATCACAACCAATTAAGGCTATTTGGTTTCATTAAAAATAGCATTTTCTCATTTGGGAAAACATTTATCTGAAGGAAATTTAAATTTACCCACTTGGAGGCTCCAAAGATGGTATAGAGTGAGCTTGTACCGTCCTTAGCCAAGAAACAGAAAAGGAACTGATGCAGTTTTCTCCTCACTGTACTGGCTTTTCCAAATTCTTCAAAACACATGAATTATATATTGTCCAACCTGATTTTGTCCAGCTTTTAGATTTAAATACCTACAAATCAGAGAGCATGTAAGTGGAGAATGGAAGTAGATTGCAGTGCCTGAAAACCTCTGTTTTCTATACCATGTCAGGTGCTCTGAGTAATGAGTTACGATAGCCTGGGACATCTAGAATGAAAGTCACTTAGCGCTTACCATTATTGTCCACTTATTCCCTTGAAAAAGGTGTTTTAGGTCTTCTCTTAATAGGCCTTAACTATCAATATTAGCATGTTCCAGTTACTTCACCCAAGCTCCTACCCAATGTATACCCTCTGCAGAAGGCAAATTATAACCAATTAGGGAAAAATAGAATTGGGACAAGACTTCAATGAGATGATGTTGACAATAGATGATACCAGAGTGTCTCCCCCAAAGGACATCCTTGTGCTCTCATCCACTCTGCCCTATCCATGCTTTGAAAATGCATGTAGGGATGAATCTTAAAGGACTTCTTCTGTTTTTCTCCATTCCGTGACTGTCCACTTTCCACTGAACTCTTTTGGTAGGGAAGTTAACAAGGTGTATAATGGAACAAAAATAGTTACCTTATATGCATACTTTTTTGAGTTCATGCCAGACCTCACCAATTGATTATAGATTCCTTCCCTCTGAGTCTGATAGGATTTCCTAATCCTTCTGGAAGATCAGAGTCAAGAAGATACCACCAATTAATCAGCACTGGAATTCTAGATTAGACCTATGTGTTACCTTGAATTTAAGTTGAAGTCTTCTTCCCCTACATTCAATAGGGAAACTTTCTGCCGCTGTTAAGTGCTGATTTTCTTAAAATCAAACTTTCAGAATTCATGTATCATCTGCAGTCTGTACTATTCACATTTCCTGCAAAAATCTTTGTATAATTTCATTCAAAGGAAGAATATTGAAAAAGCCTTTTGCAAGAATATCCTTAAGTTTAGTGTAGATGTTTATTACTTTTCTAGAGTGTTTAGGCTGTTCTTCCGTGGAAAGATGTTTTATAATTCCAGCATACATGGAGAAAAATCAGCTAATAATTATCACTACTCTTTATTGGGCATTTACTGAATATAAAATTGACCCTTCATATTATGGATGATATATTGGACTTTGGAAGAGTCATTTGCCTGTGTGTGTAAGTGCCTCAGCCACAAGTAGAACCCAGAATTAGAGCCCATATCTGCTGGATTTGCAAGCTTCATCTCAAATAGAAATCATATTGTTTTGTTTAAAATATGCTGACTGACACAACCCCATTTACTTCTATATTATTGCACTATACTGAATTTCAAAGTAGCTTCTAGAATGCAGGGTTTTTTTTTTTTTGTTTTTTTTTTTTTTGATTCGTTGATTCACATACCCAATTTCTTGTTATTTAAATCGCATCCCTGAATACTTTGCAGTTCCAGACTTGCATGAAGTTCAGTGTTATATAAGACTTTCCTACCCCATCCAGCTGTCACCTTATATAATATGCACTTCACCCTGTCTTGGATGCCTGTTGTCAAAGCTGAGATCTTCAGAGATAGTCCGTGCCTCAGGATAGTAGGACCCCTTCGTTCTAGATATAAATCATTCCAGCAGCAGCCTTTGAGTTCATAAACGCAGTAAGCTTTTCTCTTTGCCTATCCTCACCTCTCCCTCCCCTGCCTCTTAAAATGGATTTCAGGTTGAGATTTACACAAATACTAAAAACCCAGCACAGTTATTTAGCTCCAGTCTGCAGTTAAAACAGTGGGATGCATAGCTAATTTCACTCATATTTTTTTACATGTGCATTAGTAACCTGACACTCCATTAATTACTATATTTCATATTGGGAAGCTAAACTTGCTTTTCTTAGAAGCCTGCTGAAAGTAAGACAATTACCTCTGCAAGCCACCTCTGAGTGTTTCATATTTAATATAACATGTTAACATAATAATGCTGTTTTATGGTGAAAGAGGGTGAATTATATACTGATGAAAAGCCTGCTTTAACTTATTTTTTTAAAAAAAGGAAGGAAGAAGGCCACGAATGTTGCTCTTTCCCAGAATTAGAGAAAACATGCCCACTTGAAGCAAGTGTCTACATAATTAAAAAAAAAATACCAGGTCAGGTTTTGGTGGCTATGGGTATTACAACCTGCTTGGCAATTAATAGCTTTGCTGCTACTTGCCCTTATCTGTTGGGCAGGGGATGGGGAAGCAAAACATTCTAGAGTGTACCATTTATATATATATATATATATATATATATATATATATAAATATATACCATTTATTTATTCATATCATTTATTTATTTATTATGGTATATATGTATATATATGTATGCATATGTGTATATATGTATGCATACGGTCCTTTAAGTGTAAACAAGCTATGTTCAAAAGTAAATCCTTCTGTCTGTGCAATGGAAAATTGCAGTGGTTATTAATCACCTCCTGTAAAGTCGAGATGGAAGGAAACACTATAATGTCTCCTACAGGATAGACAACCTTTAGTATGAACTTAATGTCTTCACCTTTTTAGTTTAGCACCCAGTCTCTTTTAATGACTAGAAGGTCCTTGAACACATGTAGAGTAAAATGAAAGGAAACTCCATATTAGCATACTATTACTGTCTTCAGAAAATGTTTGTGGCCTTTTATTCTCATCTAGATTCATGCAAGTTACCTGCCGTATGTAATTGCTGTGTCATCACATTTTATTTGATCTGTAGAGGTGAACATGTTCTTTTTTCCCCTCCTGCAAGGAACAAAGCCAGAGAATATGTATAATTCAAAAATTGGTCCAGAGAAGGCACACAACTTTCATTTAATTAAAGGCTCTGAGTAAAGGAAGTTGGAGATAAGCTTGAACAAGTGGCCTGCTGCCTGTTTCTCTTTGGCCTTTTCAAAGGGGATACAATGTATAACTGAATATTTTGTGAACTGAATAGGACATATGAAAAGGAAACATGACTTTGACACAAATTTGAAGTTGATAACCTTGAAATCAAGTAAGAAGGTGAAGATCCTAAGAAGTTTTTTTTAACAACAGAATCTGGGAAACGAAAACTGCCATCATACTTCTTTTGTATCCTTTAATTAACTCAGTACTCAAGTGATTTGCCATCCATTTGAGATCTGTGTAATGTGAGTAGCTTGTGTGTGCTGTTTTAAAGCTATACCTCAGATTGTGTATGCCTCTTTTCTCTTTGGAATGAGTTTCAGTTTATAGAATTCTCCACTTTCTAATCAGTTGGTATACTGGTAAGAAAAGGGTTCGTTCAGAAGTTATTTCAAAAATCCCAGTCTGGTAAAAAAATTTTCTATTTGAAGTCTATACATGGCAATGCATATATAGTGAAAGTTTACTTTGAAGGTGCTTTTTGTTCATGTGATCAAATGCATCTTTACTCTGGAACTTTCCTAGTGATGTGTAGGGTTTTCATTGTCTTATGCCTATTGAAATCATGAACTGGAGTGGAACGGTGAGATGAGTCAAAGAAGATGCCAGGAGGTCATTTGTTCTTGAACCTTATTTAGGTTTGGAATACCTTAACATGTTGGTAGGAAAACTCACATGTAGCAAATTTAATGAATTCCAAGGTGCTCAGTCTTTATGGTAAGTCAGAGGAATTCAAAACAGAAGAAAAATGTTTCTGAACTGTTCAGATGAATTAATTCTGTGGAAAGCTAAAATTTGTTGATTAAAGTAAAGCAGTGTTCAGAAGTAGTTTTCATGTGGCTTTGTAAAGAACTCTTTCTTATTTCTCCTGCACGTTGAAAAATATCAGAAAAATAGTGTTAAACTGGGAAAATATTAGAAATAGTTGAATGTGTGAGCAAGTAACACCACAGAGGTTTTAAAAGTTGACAATGGATTGAAAATTTTAATTTGTTGACTGTTTTAGAGGATGTCCACCATATCAGAAAAGGAGCAATATCAACATAGGGTAATAGTTAAAAGAGGTACAAGAGGTATGACACAATACATCTCTTACATAAAAGAAAGTGAGACACAAAGATAGTTGACTTATGTAGAAACAAATAGAAAATCAGACATGACTGGGACTTGACAACTCAGTGGTCTCAATTTTTTACAGACAGAAATTGACAAACAGGCATGTTATTTTGATTGGGAAATACAGGTTCTAAACCAACCTAGTGTGAGAAAACTGTAGGAATTTAGTGGTTCCCATACCTGAAAAGTACAGGGATAGGACTGATTCATAACCTGCATCCTCCTATGTACAAATTTAATGAAAAAGATAATAGCTCTCCGAAAGTTCCCACTTAATTTCTGCTTTGTCTGAATAGCTCATGTTTCCATTGCCCTAATTCAAAGCTCCATAGGAAACTTTTATTCTAAAAGTGGGGAAGAAATTGCTATTGAATATAAACCAGAACTTGATTATCAGAAGTGAGGGGATCAGACCTTAGTTGCCCTATGGGCAGCCCATAAAGCTACTTAGGACAGATCTGAGGCTCATCTCTTACTTTCCTGCTTCTATAACATCAAACTGTCATTCTTCCCACTGGGATCCTTAATCCAACAAATATTAATGAGTGTCACCCATAAGCAAGATCTGGAAGTAGCAAGAATCTCCCTCTCAAATTGATTTCAGTTTGGATTGGAGAGGCATTAGGATACTAGTGTCCAAAGTTGGCCGCTGTGGGAATCACTTGGCACCACTACTCTAGACCTACTAAATCAGAATTTCTGGCATGGGAGCCCAGAAACCTGCCCTTTCAACAAATCCTCCTGATGACACTGATGTGAAGCCCTGGTAAGGGACTACTGTGCTATAAAGGAGTGTTCTAAATATGAACGAATGTCTTTCTAAAAGGTCATTTGCAGATTGTTACCATCATATCTGCAAAACAAGTTGGATTTTGTCAAAACTAGGGACATAGAGTGCCTGACTGAAAATTATCCTGTTAAAACACTTCATATTCCAAGACCTCTCTCTAAACCTATTGGGATTTCCAGTCTTGGGCTTGGGAATCTATATTTTCTTTAAATGGCCCAGGGGGGATCCATAATAATATTATTCTCCCAAGTGGGTTCCATAACATTGAACCACTGGGGCTCATGGAAGAATGTTAGAATCTTACTTTTATGTTTTATCAATTAAAAGAAAGCCTTATTAATATTGGATATATACATGACTGTTGGTGTCTTCAGTGATCTGTATGCAAGGTAGTCACATGTCTGATATGGCAGGTATCCAGTGACATTGGGAATGCCAAATGCATAAGCATTCAATCGATTTCAGCAGATTGCAATTAGTTGCATTTTATGCATACCTATATAAGTGAAAATCTATATATTATGTTTGTAACTAAGCCACCACTCCCAAAATAGACAAATGTCTTAATCAACATTTTCACTGTTGGTCATCTTATGGGTAAAAATGAATGACCATGTGATTGGATCTGACTTAAAACTGGGCATGAAAATTAAAAATTATAAAAATAATGTGATGTGCTTCATGAAAGTGTGCTGTATATTATTAACCATCAGTCACACCTAAAATATATTTTGTAGATTATTACCAATTGGTAATGTAAAGATTAGGCTGATATTTTGAAAAATACCATTTATTTCCCCTTTACTGCATCCATTTTTTATTTCTGTTGGTGTGTGCTTTAGAATGACTGTGTTATATTATTTAGTACAGTAATGAAGAAATATAATTTATCAATTAAAAAAATAGTGGGGATACACACACACACACACACAAATTATACTATTGGGGTAGGCACCTGATTTAAAGAAGAGACCATTGTTTTGTAAAGAAAGAAATGGCCAGTTAACTCATGCCACACATTCATTTTAAACTTTCTTTAGATCATAGTCTCTTAAATCTATTTGCTCTTTCAGTTTTAATTCATTTGACAAAAAGATGTGTTAGTGCGCATGCTCTGGCTTTGATTTTTTTTTTTTCCTAAGGGTACATCAAACTCTTGACAGATATTTGAGTGTCATTTTTCTTGGTTTAATATAGACTGTATTCATATTTATAAATGTAATTGCTCTCCAAAGGAAATCAGTAATTTGTAAGCGATTATCTGTATTTTGAACTTCACTGCTTTGCTTTTAATATATTTAAGACTTCTCTAGCTCGTGCTTAATATTCGGAAGGCAGGAATTTGTTTGCTTTAAGAAAGATAAGCATGACATCTGTTTCACACCTGTGGTGTTGGGGACAAAAAGGGTGCAGTGAGTTATATTCAGGGCCCTTTGCCAGATCTTCAGGGAATGGTCTCCAGCCTGAAATTTCTTCTCATCTAAATGTAAACTAAAATACAGATGCCCCCCATATTTTCCCTCACCCCCAGGGTTTTTGAAGGGTCAGAGGCTCTAACTGGTGGTTAGATAATTTGGCTTCCTAGCTCTGCTGATTCTGCTGTTCATATCCTGAATTTTAAAAGCTTTCTGTTGAACATAAAAAACCTACAGCAACGTTTTCAAGTAGTAAGTGTATAACTTGGTGGATTTTGCATATAGGTATACCCTGTAACCACCATCCAAAGCAAGAGCTGAAACTTGTCCATCACCATTGACCTTTTTGTGCTGTCCCTTCCCAGTGCATGCCCTGACCTTTACCCCAAAGCTATCACTATGCTGACTTTGGTCCTTTTCTGTCCCCTTCTGCCTATCACCAAATTGCTGCTGATAGTGTAGTTCTTAAATGTATTAGAATATTGTTCTTGGAATGCTAACATTTCTACAGCTTCTCTAGCTCAGAACAAGGAAAAGACCTTCGGCACTTACAATCTTCCAATAAGCCTTCATTAGTATTCAAGGTATCCATTATTAATTAGCTACTATTTGGATTATGGTTTTATCCCTCCATTTGGTCTTTTCCAGTTGGTTTTTAAAGTATGTGTCACCTGTTGGGGGTAGCTTTTTAAGATAGTTTGCCTGCATACCCATTTGTGAGGATCAGTTGATATGATTTATTACTGTTTTCTGACCATGGGGCCAGGTAATTTTATGAAGAGAAAAGAATCGGGAGAGTCAGAGGCTCACGTAGGCACCTCAACTTTACCTGGTTGCCAGGGAAGACTGGAAGAGGGAAGAGACAAGCCTAATAGTGGAGTTTAAGGACAGTGCCTTGTCATGTGTTTCTGGAAGTTTGAATTCTTCCAGGTTTATGGAAATGGGAGCAAAAATAGGAATCCCTATTCTGTTTGTACCTTTAAAAATTACATTTCACAGTTTGATTGCATTTTTCTCTCAAGTATTAAGCATGCAGCAGGGCCTTCAAAGATGAAAGAGGAGTGGTTTCTGACACTATCCAGTGCTTCCATGGTAGAGTCATGTATGTTGCCAAGTAAATTTATAGGCAGGCTATAAAGGCTGGATTGCAGCATATATTAGGAGCAAAAAGGAGCCGCTGCCTCTGGCATTTAGAGACAGGCAGGTCAGGGGCTGGCTGCTCATTGGTCAGGAAATACTTCACCTAGCAAGTAACACTTAATTCGAGTCTTGAAACATGAGTAGGCGTTTTACAGGTAGAATTATATCTTAAGCTCCCTGCTTCTGGTTGTTCTGAATTGATACACTCACATCATAAATTGCTATTGTGGTTAATATTGTAATTAAGGCCCAATTATGTTTCAAGTATTAGTGGAATTGAGTCCACGCTTTTACTGCATTGCAAAATTTAAAGTGATAATTAATATAGGACTATTATTATAGCATTATGCTCATTTTAAAGATGACACCATAGTTACTTTTTTATATTTTGGATTCGAATTGCAAAATGTGTTAGATGAAAAGGTGCATGTGCAATAGATGTAGAGCTAAAATGGCTCAAATCACTAAGCCTAGGCATGTTAAGGAGAGAATAGCTTAATGCTTATTAAGCATCTAACACAGGCTACTCATTCTGCTTCTGTTTCACTTGACCACATCTGCTCTCATAGCAACCTTTAGTAACTAGATCCTATTATGCTTAATCCCATCTTATAACAGGCATAGAAAACTAAGACATGTGAAGTTCTCTGTTCATTTACTGCAACTGTCATAACAAAGTAGCAAAGACTAGGTGATGTAGAACAACAGGAATTTTCAGTTTCTTAGTTCTGGAGTCTAAAATTTTAAGGTCAAGGTGTTGACTGGGGTGGTTCATTATGTAGACTAAAAAAGAATCTGTTCAGTGCTTCTTAGTTAGCTTCTAGCAATTTGCTGGAAATCTCTGTCATTCCTTGACTCACAGATGCATCACTTGCCTCACATGATATTCTTCCTGTACGCCTTTGTGTCCAAATTTTTCCTTTCTATAAGAACACTGTCATATTGTATAAGAGCCCATTTTAATGACCTCATCCTAATTTACAAGGATCCTATTTCCAGATAAAGTCATATTCACAGGTACTGGTGTTTAGGACCACAGTATTTTGAGGGGGCACACAATTTGAAACATAACATTGCATATGCTTACCCAACTAGAAAGCAGTAGAGACAGGATTCAAACTCAAGTCCATGTGACTCTCCATTGCCCAAAGCAGTAACAACTGTGTCATCGTATGCTAGAGAAGTACATTCATATCAAAGTATAATGCACTTCTTAACACAGCAGTCAGTAGGTGAGCATTCTTGTCCAGACAGGATTGACTTGGAATATGATCTTCTAAGATGTATTAGTCCAGTTGTGATGGAATTGCAGGATTTTGATCTCTTCTGAGATGTTACAGGCTTCCTTCTGTGTGTGAGGATGTCTATTTAATATCTTAACCCTTAGTGCCCACATTTTTTTTTTGCTTTTTTTTTTAAAGATTTATTTATACATACAAGAACCAGGGCACACGCCAGAGGTGTTGCAGGGTGCGGTGAGAGGATTCACAATAGACAGAGTGAGGAACAGAACAGGTGGATCGACTGAAATATACTGCTAAGGGGAGCAGCGGGCGAGACAGAAGAAGTCTGCTGCGCCATGTGGGTCAACTCCCTGGTCGGAGAGCCAACTCAGGCTGCAGTGGCTGGCAATAGCTTAATAGTACTGTCTTTAACCCCTGCACCACCAGTGAGGCCCAAGCACCCACATTTTGGACTGGATAGTTCATTATTGCATCTTATGCCTTGTAGGATGTTTACTGGTATCCTAAGCCTCCTTCTTCTATATGCCAGTAGTGTCTCTCTCTTTATATGCCAAACAACCAAAAATGTTTCCAGACATTTGCCAAATACCTCTGGGGAGCCGCAGCTCCCCCATTAATGATTTTACTTACTATTTTGGGAGCTGTTTGCCATTGATAACAGGCTTTTTAAAAAAAAAAAAGCTTTACTTATTTATGCATGCAAGAACTGGGGTACAGACCAGAGGTATGGGGGTGAGAGGACCCACCAGAGACAGAGTGGGTAACAGAACAGGCAGATTGACCAAATTACACTGCTGAGGGAAGCAGCGGGCGAGACAGGAGAGGTCTGCTGCGCCATGTGGGTTCAATCGCTGGCCGAGGATCGAACTCGTGCTGCAGAGACTGTGAACAGCTTCATAGGTTGTGTCTTAACCCGTTGTGCCACCAGGGAGGCCCCTGATACCAGGCTTTTAATGGGCTTTTCTTCTTAGGAAAAGAGGATGGTTGACTTTGCTACCCCTGCAGGACAGTTTGTGAGATTTTTACCCTGATCTATGCAGTGAAAAAGCTTCGCCCTTCCCGGTGGACATTGTGGAGCATTATCAGGAAATTCTCCTCTAAGGGTCAACCACATCCTTCATCTCCAGTTTGTGCTGTTTCTTTTGTGCAAGAAGATGGAGGTGCATCCTCTTCTTCTGGAAGGCATGCTTCTTGGTGTGTGGAAATTATTGAGCCACTATGTTAAAAATACTTGAGGTGTAGGCATTTGAAGAAATAATGAAGCCCAATACTTTGACCTTTAGACCAGGAGGCTATTTTAAAATGGAATACAATGCTCTGAATAATAACATAACCCCTACTAGTGACAAGTCATGCAAATGTGTTTCTCGAAGCCTGCAAATCCCCAGGGAGCCAATCTTTCTCTACCCAATTCTGAAAACAGGATGGAAAATGGTGTTTGCCTAGCCGTAATTCTTTACATGAGCTGGTTATTTTCTTAACCTCGACTTAGTGACTTTGGAAGAGAAGATAAGTCACCTTATGATGGAGAGGGAGCTTGATCGTGCAGTGACATTTAGCTGTTTTGTTAGTGTCCAGGTAATATTTCCTATGGAGTCTTCTGGCCCTATGTCTTGCCCTGTGTTTATAGCTGTGAGAGTTTGTGTGTTGCGTATGTAGGCAGTGGCTATGTCATGCAGTATATATGGCTGGGACACCAGTAGGGAGCAGGGGTGAATTTAGAGCTCTTAACAGCATCTAGCAGATGGGTCAAAGCTTGAATTCTGACATAGTGAACAAGGTTCACTATTTTGTGGGCTGTCAACATTTAATAAAGTTTGTTAATTCATGTCATAGACATACCGTCTGGCTCCTGTTTAGCCTTTTTTTTTTTTTTTTAAGATTTACTTATTTATTTTTGCATAGAAGAACTGGAGTGTAGGCCAGAGGTGGGCGGATGAGCGGATTCACTAGAGACAGAGTGGGAAGCAGAGCAGGCGGATCCACTGGAATATACTGCTGAGGGGAGCAGCGGACGAAACATGAGAGGTCTGGTGCACCATGTGGGTCAGCTCCCTGGCCAGGTATCAAACTCGGGCCATCGTGGTGGGCCATCAAGGTGGTGGTGCTGAGAATTAACCCTTAGGCCACCAGGGAGCCCCCTCTTTTAGTCTTTCTTTGTGATTCTTGTCTTCTATTTGTTATTTCAAATATTTACAAAAAAAATTCTTCGCATTTACAAATTTTGCAATACATTGTTGAATACAAGTTGAAGCCACTGTTTCATCTCTATCTCTGCATTGCCATTTCTGATGTAACCACACTTTAATATCTTGTAGACTGTTCCAGCCTTTTCTCCCTTCCCTGTGTGTTTCCGTATTTTTTTCTCCTTTACTTGAAATGATCGTGTAAATAGTGTTCCTTAGCTTGCCTATTTAACTCGGTAACAGAATTAACATCATTCCTTTAATACCCGCATCATGTTACAGGGTATGTGTGCACCCTCATTTATTGAGTAACTCTTCTATTGATTGACAGTGAATTTGTCTACAGTATTTTGCTATAAAAAATAAAAGTGAAAATCATAATCAACAAACAACTATGAACCAGAGACACTCTATGAGGGGTGGGGGGCAGGGGGGAGAGGGATTGGGGTCAAAATAAGGGTGTTGCAATTGTATGGGGAATATAAAAATAAAATTAAAAAAAATCATCAACACAAAAAAAAAAATAAAAAAAATAATGCTTGTTGACCTCCCTAAAGCTCCCTCAAAACATCCATGACATAGTTAGAATTCCAATTAAAACAGCAGATTTTAAGCTCCTTTTTATATAAATTCTTCCTCATTAAGATTTTGTGTTGGAAATTTTGTGGACATGGTGACTGAAAGTCACATTTGGAGATAATGAACCAAGCTTCCTGGGTAGACTTCTGGGTGCATCTACTGTTATGTATTATAGGTTCAAGAGACAAAGTAAAGAGAATAAGTGCTTGAGCACAATTGTATTTAATATATAATTATTCTATGTTCTAGTATTAGCCAATCAAGATGGGTAATAAATGCAGCCTGTCAATAACATGGTTATTGACTAACACTGTCTTCTGTAGACTTGCCTTCATAAAGCCATAGCTTTGGTATTTTGTTTTATCCCCTCCCTTAAATTTGGTCTTTATTCCAAATTAAAAGTTTCCTGCTGAGATGTAGCTCTCAGAATCTTAAGGTGCTCTCATTAATAGAGTTATTAAGCCTATTGCAAACCAGCAAGGCATCCTCTGGCTTGCACCCAAAGCCTAGAAGACATTGCTTGGCTTTGTCTTAATGCTGAGATAACTGGATTGATGATGGCTGACTGTTGAGAGCAATGATGGGTTTTTTCTTTCTTTAAATCTCAGTATGCATTTAAATGAAGGGTGGAAGAATGGATTGTTGTTTAATAACATGAGTATCTTAAAATGTTATAGAATCTAGGTGATGATATACAGGTGTTTACAGTAATATTCCTTCAACTTTGCTCTTGTGTTTGATTTTTTTTTTCCATAACAAATCATTGGGGCAGTGAAGGAATATGAAACAGAATGAGAAAATCTAATCAACATAGGATTTGATCTAAAGTCATACAGTGAATGAATTCAGTACCAAGTAGTGAGTTGAAAAGGACATCTATTTTTGAAAAGAAGTTTTATATAATAATTAACAATAATTAGAGCAACAACAGGGAAGATAATGTTAATATCATGCTGTAACTTTTGTGGCATTCTTATTTTCTTTAAGTGTTTAATCCTTACACCAAACCTATGAGGCTCTATTCAATCATCAAACCACTTTTAAGTCATCATCATCTAAACAAACATAATAACATGATTTCCCTTTTCTGTGTTTGGAAATGTGTACCAAGAAATAGTAATTTTCCCGTGACTTTAGTACCAGATAAAACAGTTAGGACTTTCATTTTCTAATCTTGTCTTTGCTGCTTTGTCATGTATTTGCTATGATTGTAGGATTGTGAAATTCAGAATTGTACTCTGAGAATTCATTGAAGGAGGGAATCATTCAGCCAAAAATATTTTAAATTATCATCAAAGCAGTGATGGTGGCAGAGCTCTGGTCTCCTCACCACTAAGGCCTTCTACCACCTCCAAAAAGCTTCTCCCCAAATCATTCCTTTCAAGTCCTACTCAGTCCATAAGCATATCTGGTGCTTTGCCTAGCTTTGGGCAGTCTTGTTCTTCTCCCTAACTGATTGCTGCCTTTCTAACCTAAAGTATGGTCTGGGAAAATTAGTACTTTGTGTTTCTAGATATGTACTCTGTAATTTTAATTCTCATCTGCAAGGCAGGTGAGAATCTCTAAGTCTAGTTGAACATACTTTTCAACAAAGTGGCTATGTGATGATTGGATAGTTTGTGTAAATGTGAAACCATAGTTCAATCTTTTCTTTCTTTTTTGTTCTCCCTCCTTTGAAGTGTTAGTAAGCTGGAATAGTTATATGTTTCATTGTAGGCAGAAATAAATGAAGAGTGAATTGTGTCAAAGTGAGATCATGAAAATAGCAGGATCATAGCCTGTGTGAGGTGATGCTGTCAGGAGGGACTGATGGATTCATTTCTTTGGAGCAGTTTGCTGATGAGGCTGGTCTTCTGAGTTGGGTCCCCAAATGGATCCATTAGCTTCACCACCTCCCTCTGCAGCAGTGGTGAGGATTTTGGTTTTGTTCTTTTTCAATTTTTTCTTTCCTCTTTTTCTTATTTTAAAGGAAAAGATTTCCCCCAGATGAACTATCATTTAGAGCCAGCAAGTATGTTAAACAATTTCAGTAAAACAAACCACCTTTTTTGGCCCCTAACCAATCTAAGTCCCCTCCCTAGAGAAAATCACCTTTTCTAGTTTGTATTATTTTACAGAGCCTTTCCTTCCCATTCTTTAGTTCTGTACATCTGTGGACCTACATGCACAATACAGAAGTATTTTGTTGTATGAGATTTTTTAAAGTTAAGTATATATTTATTTTGGGTCTTTCTCTGATGACAGTATACCTTCAGGAACTTTAAATGGCAGTGACTATTGGTCAATTTCTTTATTTCCCTCCATAGGGGAACATTTTCTATTTTTTATGCATGTCATTATTCCCTCCCCCCATACCTTCAATGGTGAGGCAATGTATATTTGTAACACTTGTGGCAAAGCTCTAATTTTCTGAATAAAGAGCCTCCTTAAGTTATACAAAGGAAAATTATAAGGAAAAAAAGAGTAAAGCTCCTCATTCTTATTGATTGCTAGGAAAATTGAAAATGAGAACAGAAGTGTCCATCCAATGCATGAAAAATAAAAAGGATCCATAAATCCAGTGTCAGCGAGGTGTAGGAAAATTGGTATTCTCCTGCACTGCTGACTAGAATGTAAAAGGTGTGTGTCCTTTCAGGAGATGGTCTGAGCTGCTTCTAGGTATCTGTCTTAAAGAAAGGATTTTGTGCTTTTAGGGGCATGTTCACATATTTTTTGTAGTTGTGATTCTTAACCTTTTTAGCTTGCAGAGACCTTGAATGTTTTTGAGATAACCTTAGACCATGTGAAACTAGGACTGAAAATGTGTCTTGGAAAGTTATAGTGTGTGGTTAAAAGTGCAGCCGTGAGGGTTCATCTCATGAAAAGCAATAGACACTAACCAGTGCACACAGGTATAGCTGTGTGCACTGTGTATTTCAGCAGCTGTGCAGCCCTTCTGGAACCTAAATCCATAGCTCCACAAATTTGTGTTCCCTCATCTACTCAGTTGTTGTCTGTAAAAATGAGAGAGAATGTGAGTGAGCACTTGCTCTCCTGTAAGACAAGTAATTTCCGCTCATTTATTATACTCATTTAATGAGTGCCTACTGTATACTTAGGCCAGGGATCAACACCACCTAGAGACAGAAATGCTAGCATACTGTATCCAGAAGATTCCATTGAAGGGAACCTTCAATAAAGTTAAGCTGATGACCTTAGGAGCAGAAAAGTGTTTTTGTTTGTTTGTTTGTTTAAATATATTTATTTATTTTGTATATTCTATATATTTACATATAGTTTGTATGTTTTTATATTTTTTAATTTTTTTTAATTTTTATATTCCCCATACAATTGCACCCCCCCTTATTTTGACCACAATCCCTCCTTTTAACACCCCCCCATAGTGTGTCTCTGGTTTATAGTTGTTTGTTGATTTTGATTTTTTCTTTCTTATTGTTATTCTTTTCCCTGGTCCCTTATTTAGGTTCTCTAAATTCCTGCTATGAGTGAGACCATCTGGTATTTTTCTTTTTCTTTCTGGCTTATTTCGCTGAGCATGATCCCTTCCAGCTCCATCCATGTTGCTGCAAACTGCATGTGTTTATCTTTTTTGATTGCTGAGTAATATTCCATGGTGTATATGTACCATATCTTCTTGATCCAGTCATCTATTTTTGGGCATTTGGGTTGTTTCCACAGCTTAGCTATTGTAAATAGTGCTGCTAAAAAAATAGGGGGATTAATGTTTCTGTGTCCTTTGGGTAAATATCTAGGAGTGGAATTGCTGGATTGTATGGAAGCTCTATCTTTAGTAGGTCGAGGAATCTCCACACAGCTTTCCATAGTGGTAGGACCAGTTTTTACTCCCAGCAGCAATGCAGGAGAGTTCCTTTTTCTCCACATCCTCGCCAACATTTGTTGTTGCTAGCTTTTTTTTTAATATGTGCCATTCTCACTGGTGTGAGATGGTATCTCATTGTAGCTTTGATTTGCATTTCCCTGATTACAAGTGAAGTTGAACATTTTTTCATATGCCTGTTGGCCATTTGCCTTTCCTCTTTGGAGAAGTTTCTTTTTAGCTCTTCTGCCCATTTTTTGACTGGATTATTTTCTTTATTTTTGTTGAGTCTCCTCAGCTCTTTGTAGATTTTTGTGATCAGTCCTTTATCATTAGTGTTGTGTGTAAAAATCTGCTCCCACTTGGTGGGGTTTCTCTTTGTTTTGGTTGTTGTCTTTTTTTGCTGTGCAGAAGCTCTTTAATTTGATATAGTCCCAGCTGTTTATCTTTGCCTTCACTATCACTGCTTTGGGTGATGTGTCTGTAAAGATGTCTTTGAAGTACATGTCATGTTGTGTTTCGCCTGTGTTTCCTTCTTTATATTTTATGGTTTCAGGTCTTATGTCTAGTTCTTTAATCCATTTTGAGTTGGTTTTTGTGCATGGTGTGAGGTAGTAGTCATGTTTCATTCTTTTGCATGTAGCGACCCAGTTTGCAGAAAACTGTTTTAAGGAATAAATCTTCTCGACCATTTGACCCAGTTAATCTTAAAAATACTTCACTGTGGAGATTGTCCCAAGGATACTGGAGGGTATTTTTCTGGTTTATAGATCTCAAAAGCATTTGGGAAACATCCAGTTTGTCTTTGCCTGTGTGTTCTCAGAACTGTTTTACATAAACCTTTTACTTACGGAGACTCTGATTTGCCAGTTTTTAGCTGTACAGGGCAAATGCAGTTTTCTGGATAAAATAGCATAACTTGCCTTTGTGTACAAGTTTTCTCGTAGGCTTCTGGTTGGGAAAAAAAAAAAAAGAGTGTATGCAACCAACTCTGGACTTGCATTAATTTTATTTAGCTTAATCGCAAATTCTTGGCACAATCATTTCCTAAAATCTATTATGAGGTTGAAAATACAATATCAGAAGTGAGCAAAGAATTGTAATGGGAACTTTGGGTGAGTAAGTAACAAATAAACTATATTTCAGGTTCCTTGTATTTCAAAACAGGAGACATATTGCTGATCCCTGGATGGTTTTGAATGATTTATAACCTTTTATTTGTGGTTGAGTGTTGCAGTCTATGTTGTCATGGAAATTCTATTGAATTTATAGGCCCATTTATCCAAAATGATTTTCCAGACTTCATTTCATGGTGAATCATGTGGCTGTTACTCCCAAGTACGAAGCAATTTCTTAAAAGTTTCATATTACAAAGAGCACAAACACTATAGTGGTTATTTTTGTGTTTTTTGAAATACAAATGAGTTCCAGATGCACCTAAGGATACCCTCCCCATCCACTGTGTCCAAGGTGTTCAGCTCCACTGCATTTCAGAACCAGCCTTATATATAAAATGGCTATGCAAGCAAGGAAAGATTGTTTTTAATAGAAAAGAAAGCTATTACACTAAATCCAAAAATCGGTCAAAGTGGTCTTTTAGTTACTGTTGTGTGGGTAAAGCACAAAACTGCTCTCCCAGTCCCTGCGCCCCCCCCCCTTGTAACTGACTCATTCCTTCCTCCCTGCCTTAAAGTTCAGTAGTAGTGGGAAAGGAACAGGGAAACTCACTGCTTTACCCTATCCACAGACTAAGTTTCATGTGACAGTGGGTGTAGAAAAAGGTTTCTGTCCCTCAACACTATTGACATTTTGGGCAGGGTGATTTTTTGCTGAGGGAGGAGCACTAGCTGTGCATTGTAGGGTATTTAGCATTGTCTCTTGGCCTCACCCACAAGAAGCCAAATAGCACCCTTTCCAGTGATGACAACCAAAAGTGTCTAAAGACATGGCCAGGTTTATTTGACATCCAAAATCATACCTGGTTGAGGTCCATTGCTCAGGAAAATTGTTGATAGAATCCTAGAGATGACAGTTGGGTAGTCCTCAGTGCTGATGGGAAATCTGTTCGGGATGTTGTGTGGAGAGGATATTGTCTGTGCAGGATCTGAAGTCAGATCCCTGGGTTTGAATCTTAGCTTTATCACATAGGCAAGATCTAAAATCTTAGCCTTAGTTTTCTTTAGTATAAAATAAAGAAAACCAGGGACCTACCTACTGGCACAAGGGGTTAAGTCTCTCAGCACTATCAAGCTATTGGCAGCCACTGCAGCACAAGATTGATCCCTGGCCAGGGAGCTAACCCACATGGTGCAGCAGATTTCTCCTGTCTCTCCCACTGCTCCTCTCAGCAGTGCATTTCAGTAGATTCACCTGTTCTGTTCCCCACTCTGTCTCTGGTGAATCCTCTCACCCCCCACACCTCTGGCCTATACCCCAGCTCTTGTATGCATAAATAAATAAAATAAATCTTTTTAAAAATTTAAATAAAATGAGGAAAAGCATAGTACTTACCCACATAAAGTGACTATAATGATTAAAAGAATTCATGTCAGGTCTTGTAGGAATTGGCTATATCAAAGCAGCCCTTGTGGAGTGTTTTATGGACATGCTACCTCTCGGCTTCATTTGCAGTGTCTGCCTCCAGGGACAGGTGGAAAGAAACAGTGCTTGGTCCATGTAATTTTCATTTGGTCCTAGGCTGCTGTGATTCTACGCATCCAGGGACTGTCAACTTGCTGTATCAGACATTCTTCTCTAGTCTTACCCTCAGGTTTAGAGCAGCCTCTATCAAATCAAATGGATGCAAGGGAGGGAAGCAGACTGGGCTCTGCTGCACTGTTATATGAGATTATATTTTTGCTTATCCCAGTTGCAAAAGTATAGCGTTCCACTAATTCTCTTCACTTGTTGAAATATACAAAGAATTATAATAGACAAATGAAAATTCACAAATAATAAGTTACAGCTGAACAGATTTTCATACACTCATGACCAGGCTCTAGATTAGGAAAGAGCATTTATTGGTACCCCCAGAATCTTTCTTTCAGTTATTACAACTCCCCAAGGGGTAACCACAGCTTTGGCTTCTAACTGCCTGAATTTTTCCTACTTTGTACTTCATTTAAGTGGAATCGCAGGTTGTAGCTTTTTTTATTTATTTATTTATTTATTTATTTATTTATTTATTTATTTATTTATTTATGGTCCCTGGTTTATTTGACTAAGCATCATTTGTGAGATTGCCCATATTGTTACCTAGATTATCGCTATCATTCCAGTGCATTTTATCACTATTCCATTGTGTGACCATCTCATAATTTGTTTATGCACTCCAAAATTGATTGGCATTTCCATAGGTTTCAGTTCAGGACTATTGTAAATAATTTTCACTAATTCATGTTTATTTTTCCTTTCTTTTCCAACCTCGACCACCTTTTTAATTTTTAAAGACATGAAGTCAATCACTTGGGGCCTACAGTTGGCCAGACATTGGGCTTATTTAATCCTTACTCCAACACTTGACATATTTTTTATTCTTGGTTTACTCATTGGGACAGCAAGACTCAAAGCAAGCAACTAAGTTCAACCATGTCATGCAGCTATTACATGGGGGAGCTGTAGCTTACTGCCCTCTTCCTGAGTGACATGACAGGTGGTCTTTCCAACATACAGCCAGGTGCTGATGCTACCTCACTTGGGCCCAGCCTTGTTTTGAACTATGAGAAATAACTCATGAATCATGCACAATAAATCCCTAAGAAACTCAGCTTACTATAAGCAAGAGCCAGAACTTTTCCCTACTAGAAAGTAGAAAAATTAAATATTTGGCTAATAAGATGCATCATCAAACCAGAAATTCCAAAAATAAGCTAATAAAATGACTTAGAATGGCATAAACATGTTATACACAGAGACTTCTAGAAGGGATCCCAAAAGCATCCCAGCACCTGATTGTATGTGAGTCTCAAAGCCCTAGTGTGCTCTTCGGGATCTTCTGCACCAAAATCTTGGATCCCTGCTGTTAAATAGTTGAAGATAATTCCATGTTATAGGGCAAGTGAAAAAAGGAAATAATTAAGGATTAGTGCACTCTGTGATTAATGATATTGTATAAAGCAAACTTTTCAGAATGTTTATTTAAATGCTACCTTGCCTGCAAGGATGCTGAGTACCTGCTATTCTTTGGCGCACAGTTCTAAAAATATTCTTCCAATGAAGGCTGTGCGAAGCCCCCATGCAGGTTTCTTTGCTACACCTTGCAGCATGTCTCATTGGGATGTTGACTGGCCTGTGGAAAGGATATCTTTTCACTGTACACATCCCTTTTGATTATAGAGATAGGAAATATAAAAAATGAGCCCTGTTTAGTTTGTTCTTAGTTTCCCAAAGCATATGTAGTGAATCTTTATTGCAGTGATCCCATGAGGTATCATGCCTGTTTGACAGAGGAGGACACTGAGCCATAGAGATCTCAAGTGCCCTGAGTCTACAAATCAGATCTCAATGTATAGCGCAAGCTCATTGATCTGCATTTAATAACACCCAGTTGTGTTGTCTACCAATGTCACGGACATTTTTCTGTAAGCCACAGGGCAAATTGGGTTGTAGCAAGGGAAAGCAGTTTGCAAAGTAACTGGGTTGGGTTGCAGAATGGTTTTATGAAGTGATACACAGGCACATATTTCTGTGTATCTTTGTTTAAAATGAGTTATGGCCTTTCAGAGTGTATTAAGGTGTTCCAGAGAAATAGAAACTATAAGATCAGTGTGTGTGTATATGTCCCGGGTGGGGGATGGGTGAGGGGAGGGAGGGAGGGAGGGGGAGAGAGAGAGAGAGAGAGAGAGGAGAGAGAGAAACTGTTTCTAATGTTGACTCACTTATCTGCACCTTGATAGATTGAAGCCATTGGCTGGCCAATGAACTTGCAAGTGCAGGTCATGCGCTATACACGAGGGACAAGTTTTTTGCTAACACCGCAAGGATCTCTGGGCCTGATGAGTGGCGTTTGATAGTAAATCTTGCTACAAGTAAAGAAAATAAAAGGGGCAAGGCCTCCCTGGTGGCCCAAGGGTAAGTCTCAGCACTGTCACCACCATGGCCGGAGTGCAATCCCCTACCAGGGAGAAAACCCACCTATGGCATGGCAAACTTCTCCTGTCTCGCCCACTACTCCCCTTAGCAGTGCATTTGTAGAGCAAATGGGAAATTCTGATAAGAGTTCATGTTGATGGAGTCTTGGGACCAAAGGCTAGAAACTCAGGCAGAATTTCTGTGTTGCAGTCTGGAGGCAGAACCCCTTCCTCCTTTTCAGTTGTTCGAATGAGACCCACTGCTTTGTGTGGAGTAATCTGCTTTACTTTCTATTGATTTAAAAAGTAATTGTCGGGTATATATTCAATGGAATACTACTCTGCTGTTTTAAAAGATGAAATATTGCCTTTGGGGACAAAATGGATAGACCTTGAGGTGATTCTGTTAAGTGAAATAAGTCAGAAAGTGAAGGATGAGTATTGGATGGTTTCACTTCTCTGTGGAGTATAAATAACAAACAAACAAACAAACAAAAAAAAAAACCATATACTGGCAAAGCACAGCAGAAACAATTCTTAGACTTTGTGAAAAATATACTGTTTACCAGATTGGGGGAAACTATTCATTACTTTATACTTCTTTGTGATACACTTACCTACAGCTCAACTTTGACATTCAATAAAAAGACTAACCTTATCACAATATTAATATTTCAGTCTTCTCAAGTATAAACTGTGTCTACATCTGTCATAGTGACTTACACATAATAGTTATTAAGCTTTTTTTTGCCTTTTGCCTTTTGGAATGAAGCATACTGATTAAGACCTTGAATTCTAGCAAGTTTCTATCCCAATCCAACTCTCTCTTCCTTAAGATCTTTGTAAATGTGAGGAACTCTTAGTTTCTTTGGTTGTAAAGTGGGGGGGGGGTCCCTGTGGTATCTACCTCAGCAAGTGTTCTGAAAGTCCAACACCCAGCACACCTTACATACTCACTGTAATGTTTGAAAAAGGGCAACATTGATAAAATATATAAAGCTCAAGTGTTACTTTATATTCATTCAACTTAACATGAATAGTGATACAAATTGGAAACTAGCAATATACATAGTTTTTAAATGAGATTGTATGGGGCCTCCCTGGTGGCACAGGGGGTTAAGCACAGCACTGTGAAGCTATCCACAGCCACTGGAGCACAAGTTCAAATCCCAGGCCAACCAGGGAGCTACCCCCGTGGCCCAGCAGACCTCTCCTGTCTCTCCCACTGACTGTATTTCAGTCAGTCTGCCTGTTCTGTTCCCTCACTCTGTCTCTGGTGAATCCTCTCACCCCCAGTATCTCTGGCCTGTACCCCAGTACTTGTATGCATAAATAAATATTTTAAAAAATCAGATTGTAACTAGAGTCATTTTAAAATACACGTGGGGAAAAACTGAGCTATATAGGAGAAAGAGAAAGCTAAGTAGACATCTTGTTATGAGTCTGTATACATGGTGCTAGTTCATATACCACTAGGGCACTGACCATGTCAACTCTTTGCTGGGTGTACCCATTTCATCTCCTTCCCATTACTTGGTAGTGTTGTCATACTTGCACGCAGTGTTTTTCATGGCTATTTGTTAACACTTGCTATTGGTCAGGGGTGGGGCTTTTCCTCCTTGTAAAATTCTGTTTTCCAAATATCAGGTTATGCCAAGAGATATTCTGTGTTATTTATCACTTTGATCTAGCTGGAGAAATGCCTGAAGTCTTTTCCATTCCAGCCCTTCTGCAAGGTGAAATTGGATGATCCATCCAGGCTGTGATTCTTACTCATGAATTTGAAAAATATATTTAGAACTGACCCCTTCATTGTGCCCTGATCCACATAGTCTACCAGTTACTTTGTAGTTGAGCTTCATGTAGTTTGTTTTTATATCTTCCTGGCTCTCTACATGGTGGAAGGACATTCATTTATATGAGGTCAATCCAACTTCCTTTCCTTTGTAAAGAGGGTACTGGCTGGAATAGGTTCAGAGTCTTAAGCTATGTAGTTTTCTTGAAGAACTAAAGTGTTCTAATATGAAGCATATTTGGAAAATACTGAGTTAAAATTATTATGTCTTCAAATACCATTCCTAACTAAAAAGAACCAGGGCTCTCTCACGAAATGGCCAATTTTAGGACTGGCTCTGAGAAAATACAAGATGAGCCTAGAGTATCTGTGCCAGCTAATAAGGAGAGCCTAAAAAAATAGAAAATGATGGCAACATAAGAGAATGATACAGGAATTCATTTGAAGAGTCTCCTAGAGGGTAAATTGAAGACAGTTTGAGCACCAAAATAAATAGGAGTAATGGGTTACAATCCACCAGAAAAAAATATCAAAAATAAATAAGCCCGCACGAGTATGAATGAATGAATGAATGAATGAACGTACTGTGTTGGAGGAAAGGTTATTCCTTCTACTAGAATGCCACTAGTGAGAATAGAAGAGATGATGGAGTTAAAAAATTATCAATGGATACTAAAACTCGTAGGTGAAAGTTGGATGAAGAATGGACATTTGTGTAATCTCAGAACATCTCCCTGAAAAGTACTTTTTAATCAGAAGACAAAAATCAGTAGTTACAGAGTGGAGAAGCCTGGCAGACATCATCTTAAATGATGTTTTTAAATGGTCAGTTTAACCACCTGTAATATTAGAATAAACCATACACCTTACTCCCTGGTATGGCGCACTGTGAGGATACTACATTGCTACTCCAGTAACCTACCCCAGGGCAATGCTGGAATCTAATCATGAGAAACCAAGTGACAAAACCAGATGCTGCATAAAAACTGATCCACACACTTCAAACTGTCAAAAGAGAGAAAGACTGGATAACCATTCCTGATGACAGTGGGCGTGAGAGGAGTCAGTATAAAAAGATAGGGCAATCAAGTGCAAAGTTTGATTATAAATTGGGTTCCTGGACTGAGAACTAAACCGAAATGATAATGGATTTTATTTGGGCACTTGCAAAAATTAGAAAATGGACTATGAAGGAGATGCTAGTATTATGTTAATGTGAGATTTACTAATTTTATTTTGTTTTATTTATATGTATATTTTATTTATACAAGCACTGGGTACAGTCAGAAGCACGGGAGGGTGAGAGAATTCACCAGAGCCAGAGCGGGGAGCAGAGCAGGCAGAAGGACCAAAGCACACTGCTGAGGGGAGCAGCGGGCGGCAGGAGAGGTCTGCGCGCCATGTGGGACCCTCCTCTGGTGGCCGGAGAGCAGCCGGGAATCGAACCAGTGCTGCAGAAGCTGCGGGCAGCCTCGCAACCCAGCGCTAAACCACTGCGCCACCGGGGAGAACCAGATTTACTAATTTTAATAGTTGTACTGTGGTTATATAGGAGAATGTCCTGATTCTTAAATATTTTACACTTAAGTATTTTGTAGTAAAGGGGCAAGTTCTTTCCTCACTGTGAAGTGATGTAGAAAAAAAAGTGTGTGTGAGTGTGTGTGTGTGTGTGTGTGTGTGTGTGTTTGCAGATAAAGTGATAGAGAGGATGCAAATAGAGTAAAATGTAAGTAATTGTTAGTACTGGGTAAAGAATATATGGAATTAGCTAATAGATATCTTTATTGCTCAGTTTTCCAGATTGTTTCTTTACCTTATGTGTAAACATGATTTTTTTTAGGAGTATTGGCATACTTAGAACACAATTTAGATTCACATTATTAGAAACAACACACTTGCAGATGTTGAAGGGATGGCTCAAGGTTTTTCTCTTGAGAGCAGATTTAGAAGATTTTGGGGCTCCTCAAGAAACTCAGTAGCTACCCGAAAAACTTCCAATAATACTTTTTGGAAAATAGCTTTCCTGCCTCTGCCTAAATTTGTCTCATCAACAATAACAGGAAAAAAAAACATTTTAAATTCCTCAGCAAAACTCCATCTACTTATTTATTCTCATATTTAAGATAGCTTCAAAAGTTAATATAACTCACTAGACAGCTTGAAAGAAATAGCAAGGAAAATGGATATTTCAGATCTATGCTTCTAGTTTCATTATGAGATACTGTATTATCCTTATGGGTGGAGCCATGACTAAAAGATATTTCCTAAAAATGAATTTCTTCACCCAGTTGTGAATGAAAATGCTCTTGAAGAGGTCTTAAAGTATTCTGTATCATACACCATTCAGGTGATGCATTAAACAATGTCACCCCTGTTCATGGACTGAAGAATAAGAAATCCTCCTGTGAATTTACTTAATTTAAGGGCTTGGGTTTTAAAGGGAAAGTGAAGTGTAATTTCATGAATAGACTAGTGTGGAGTTTCTTTCTTGAATTAGTAGCATTGTACCCAAAGCAGTTCACCTAGTATTAAATTGTTTTAATCTGCACCTCATTAAATGGATTTTTCCCAATGTAAATTCATGATGTCTAAAGCTGTCCAATCCTAAAGGCAACACATTTGTAAGAAGCTGCCAGAATCAGTGGGGATTCATATTCTAAGAAAAACAGTTCTTTTTAAGAGCAAAAAATCTACCTATCCTTCTCATATCCACTTGAGTTACCTGACTTTTCCTAGAAAGTATCCTGATTTGGACTTTCTGATTTCACTCTTTAAAAACATTTTTTTCTAAACATTGTAAGCAGGATCTGTTTGCCTTTTGTCCTGCTCTTCAGCTAGTCTCTCTCTCTGACTTAGCTCTTATCCCTGCTGAGAATTTGCCATTCAGTATCAGATCTCCTAACTCCATCTGGGATATAGTTGTTCAGCCCACTAAAGAAAATGTCATCATGTCATTGGGAAAAGTGGGGAAATGGAAGTGATGGAAGAGAAATAATACAAGAAATTTTATTTTTCTACGAAGAGGAGGGTCATTCTAAAATATTGAGCAAAAAACACATTATTAATAGAAATTTTAATGTCCCCCAAATGTTAACTTTGTTTAAAAGATAAAGAAGAGGAAAATAAGGTGAAGGAGAAGAAAGAGGAGGAGGAATAGGAATGGGGGAAAGGAGGAGATGGTGAAGTTGTAGATTTATTGAGCACCATATAAGCAAGATGCTATATAAGATCTATTACACTGACTTGTTTGAACCACGTATCTACCCTACCAAGTATAAATACTTGACTTTGTACATGAGTAAGCTGATACTCAGAAATTTGCTTGCATAAATAAATAAATAAATATGTAAATAAATAAAAGGGGCCTCTCTGGTGGCGCAAGGGGTTAAGTACAGCACTGTGAAGCTATCCACAGCCACTGCAGCACGAGTTCGATCCCCGGCCAGGGAGGTGACCCACATGGCTCAGCAGACCTCTCCTGTCTCTCCCACTGCTCCCCTCAGCAGTGTATTTCAGTCAGTCCTCCTGTTCTGCTCCCCACTCTGTCTCTGGTGAATCCTCTCACCCCCACCATCCACACTTCTGGCCTGTACCCCAGTTCTTGTATGCATAAATAAATCTTAAAAAAAAAAAAGAAATTCACTTGCTTGCCTGAGGTTTCACAGGCAAGTGAATGAAGAAATTGGAATAGGAAGCCAGGTTTGGTATTATTATCCCATACATAGTCTTGCAAGAATATGCTCTGGCCCTTTTTTGTTCTTGAATTGTATTCAATATCAAGGAGTGGTGAAGCATATAAAAATACATAATGATATTAAGCAATTTATCTGTGCTCTCCTTTTTGAAAAGAAAACCTAGCCAGATGTAAGATAAGGTAATTAAGGTTTTAAGGTTGTTTTTTGTTTTGTTTTGTTTTTCAATTTTTGCATAGAAGAACTGGAATGTAGGCCACAGGTGCAGGGGGGTGAAAGGATCCACCAGAGACAGAGTGGGGAGCACAACAGGCACATTTACTCAAATACACTGCTGAGGGAACAGCAGGCAAGTCAGGAGAGGTCTGCTACGCCATGTGGGTTAGCCCCTGGCAGGGATTTAACTCTGGCTGTAGGGATGATAGCAATGAGGCTTAACCCCTACACTACCAGGGAGGCCCAAGAGAACCTGGGTTTTACACTCTTCCTTTGATGTTTATCTAGCCCAAGTTAGCATCAACTTCCTGAAACACTGTTTCCTTCTCTGGAACCGAATGTAGTAATTTCTGCCCCGCCTGCACAGGAGTAGTTAGATGGCATCTGTGACGTACTGCATGGGATGGCATGTGCTGAACTGTAAAATGTATATATTATTATTGTCATTACCATTATATTTCTTTGTGGAGTCACTAAACTATTCCATTTAGACTTTCTCAAAGCTTTAGATCCCTTAAAATTCTCTTTGTTAGAATGAGCACTGTTTATAAAAATGTGACCATTTAAGCGTGTTACATAGGAACATGTAGACAGAATCTCATAGGCTGATTTTCTACTTAAAGGTAGTTAAATTCATTAAAATGTTGCTTCTTAGTAGAAAACTTCCATCATGCCATAAGTATCAGGTAATAAAAAGATGTTGGGAGTTATTTATTTTGGGGGTCACAAAGGCGTTGTAATTAAATGAGATGTTTTAGTGATCCCTCCTGAAGTATTTAGGGGTAAATGGTATATGATATATGGGGTTGGAGCTCATATTTTAGCAAAGAAAAAATATAGATGAATTAATACGTTTGGCAAAATATTAATAGGTGGGCAATCTGCGTTATTGCACTATTTTTTGGCATAGGTTTGAAAATGTTCTTATAATTTTTTTAATTATTCTTTTACAGATGCAGATTTTCTTTTACAATCCAGACGATTTTGATAGTTTTCAAACAGCAATTTCCGAAAACAGAATAATCGGAGCCATGGCCATATTTTTTCAAGTAAGTTTACAGTGGCTTGAGTACTTCAACAGAGAGTTCTCTTTTTTTTTTTTAATTCACCGAATTGTTCTATGTTTAATGAATGCATCTGTTTTCTAGTTCACACCTGTCTAAATGAAAGATATTTCATATTGTCTAATGTGTGATTTAAAATGTAAATAAGTATGTTTAGAAACATAATGAAAATTTTTGCATGAATTATTCTGATTTTATTGCTACTTGACTGGTGCACAGATTGAAGAACACATTTATCATCTAAGTTACTTCACTGCTGAAGCGTTTTGAGCAGGTTCCTTCAGCATATTAAAAGGCTGATATAAAAAAAAGTGGTTTTCTTTGGAGCAACTTTAAAATTTGACATTACTTGGAAGTGGATTAATAAATAGCATCAGTCACTTCTCTGTAGAGACGCCTTTCTTTCCCTCCCGAAATCCCCATGGTAACTAAAGTTTTTATTAAGACCATTTCCAAGTTAGTACATTTATGAACTTCCATCCATTCTTTATCTTTTAATGTGTTTGTATTTACTTATGTTCCTGACTCTTGTATTGATTCTCTACTAAAAGCCAAGACTTGCATCCTTTTATACTTAATGCTGTCTAGGCTTTTTAATAAGTCAAATCAAATTTAAGCAGTGTTCTCAAGAGTCTTGATCTTGTAGCCTAGAGGAGCGCTGGTGCTTTTGCATATGGAAGACAAACTGAAGAGTAGGTTGTGGCTTTTCTTTCAGTCTTAAAATTGGCCAAAAGCCTACATCCAGGCGTTCCTTCTATCAGTGAGTCATTGTTGGAAAATAATGTTTTTCTAACAACTCTTAAGAAACATTAAAGGCATCAGAACCTTCTCTAATATGGGTTTTTAACCTCTGCTTTTTAGGCATACATCTTTATCTTTGAGATGAATATGTTATTTTTTGGAATATGTCGGTTTCACTACCCTTTTTGGTAGGAGACACATGATGGGTAATTCTCTCCATTGCTTATCTCTGTCTCTAAACTACCCTCCTACCCTTTTCTTTCTTTCTTTCTTTCTTTTTTTTTTTTTTTGGATGAAGAGAGATTATATGTGAAAAATTGGAAAACCTAATATTTTTCCCAAGTGTCAGGAACATTAAGAGCTGTTGTTGTAAGCACTGGTTATGGTGTGTTTTCAAACTGTAGGTTTTGACCTACTAAGGGGCCATGAAACATTTCAGTGAGTCCTGGCCAGCATTTTTAAAATAATGAAATAAGTGCAATAGAAAAAAAAACTGAAAAATATCTGAGTGAATCATATATAGTAAAGGAAAATATTTTGGTAGAACTCCCTTTTTTTAGTTCTTTATATACTGAGAGGCACCTGGGTCATGTTATAAAATGTATCTCTTGTTGTGAGTCATGGTCAAATATTTTGAAAGTTGTCTGTTGCTGTGTATTAGACTGATCTTCCCGTTGTATCCTTTATTGTCCCACATATCTCTTTCCCTGATTACTTTCATAAAATGCAGTTGAGCATCATGTTTTAAAAGGTTGTTCACAGGAGTCAGAAATACTTGCTTTGAATCTTGGCTCTTTAACTTAACATTTGAGTAATGGTAATGCAGTTTTTTAAACCTTCCAATTTTAGTATTCTATTCTGTAGAATGGGACTAGTAACGTAACCCCTGCACCATCAAAATTGTAGCTGTGATTAAATCAAGTCCCTCATGTAGGCCTGGCACATAGTAGACACTTAGTAAATGCCAAGAATAAGTAACCATATCTGTCCATTTCTGTTGCTCTGGATAGAGACTGGGGTACATGTCTTCTGTGCATTAACAGGAATCTGTCATGGACACTGCCTTGTGAGCAGATAGCCGGACCTCTTCTACTTATGAAATGTGATCAGTTTGCCTTTGTCAATACTGAGGTCACTTGAATCACTTCTAAAACTGCTCCCATGTACATGGTTAAGCCTGGTTTTCTGCTATTGTCTCTTGACATACTGCTTTTCTTGTAGCTGAACCTTTCTATTACTGTTTCCTGCTCTGTCATGCCCACCCATGCTCACCCAATCCACGTCCTAGTGTATAGGTTGCCCTTCTTATAGAAAACAAATTTTTAAAATGCTTTTATGATTATGGCAAAGACCAAGCCTCTGCGCGCTCCACCCAACTACTACAGGCAAGACACATTGGTGTACAAGCTAGCAAAACAACCTCAGTGTGAAATCTAGGTTTTAAATGCTTTAAGTCATTCTAAGATATAACTGTTAGATCACATACAAAGAAATTTAATGTTTATTTCATCTGGTATATACTTTAAATCTTGGCTTGTTGTCCAAAATAGAGGGCAGATAATGTAAAATGGAACGAAAAATTTTTTTTAGACAGCAGCTGTGCTAGCTGCTTCCTTTGTTTTCCATATAAGTCCACATATGCTTTATGCATTTGAGCTCACACTATGTCATGCAAAGGAAAGAAAAAAGTTATTGTTATTTTGTCAGTCCAGGTGGATCCCATATTTTGAGATCTTTGCATTTTGAATCATTCTATAACAGTGTTAAATTTAGGAGTTTGGTATTTCTTCCCCAAATAGCCAGAGAAATCTTGATATATATTTCTAAATTCAAACCTGACATCTTCCCTTTTGGTATTGCATTGTTTGTCATGTGTTTAGCGCTGATTCAGTGCCAGGAATGGTACTAGATGCTATGTTAAATATTCAAATACAATCAAACCCTGCTCCCAGGGACCTCAGTGTCACAGTCCCATATAATATTGGTGAGAAAGAGGGGAGAAATTCCTTCCTTTAGAGAGGCTGTACTCTGATTTGCTGCTTATAACCCCCCCTACCTGGGACCCAGAGTGACATGATGTGAAGGGCTCTAGGCCAAGGCTAAGTTCTTCGGAGATACTGGAACCTGGATATTGACCCACTCCATTGGAATAATTTTCTTACAACTTTCTATTATTTGTCATTTTTCTTTTCTTCTTTTTTTCTTTCCCTTTGAGCTTCCTGTTATTCCTGGTAATTTTGGCTTTCATTCCCTCTGTTGTGATTAGATGTGATGAAGTTCATATGATGAAGTTCATGTTTCAGAAGAAACATCAAAACAGGTACTACAACCCTAGTGCATCCATGCTTGACCAAAGTACCAGGATAGAAGATGTTTTGCAGGTGGTCCTGCGGGCAAAATCTGTTGAACCTACAGTGTTTACAATTCTTTGCTTTAGTTAAATATGGAAGATTTTTACATAAAACGTCCAGATGATGTAGTAGTAGTAAAGATCCGAGTGTGACTGCCTGCCTGCTGCTGAGTGGATGTACATTCCCATTGCAACAGTCCAGGCAGCTAGTGCATGTTTTCATGGCCACATGATCTTAAGATAATGACCCTGACCTGGACCCCAGTAACTTTGAATGGTGGCTGACATCTTGGATTACAGACATAGTAGAAGGTCAGTCTCACTGAGGAAAGATGGTGAACCAGCCCTCCTCTGAGTGGCTTGTGACAGGAATCGTGAAGGAAGAAGGAACACCATGCATGAAAGATAGCAATCCCCCCACCTGTTGTTGTGCACACTTTGGCCCATATAACTCTAGAAGTTACAATCACTTCCTAGCCCAAGTGAAATATTTATTACAATTTTCCAACATGTTGAAAAATTTCTGACATAAGGAACACCTTTTTTCTAGCTCCCACCCACCTTTAGACCAGCATTCCTATAGAAGCTGTAGAGGAAAGGCTAGGGTGGTGTTTGATTTTAAATAATTTAAAAAATAAAATTGGCAAAGGATATACATAGGTGTTGTCATACTCCTAAAGTGAATGAATAAATGCTTGTTTAGCCAATTTATGAGTATGAAAATTGAAATAATTATGTTCTGTTTGTTAAAGCATAACCTCTACTATTCTTTACTATTACCCTGATTTGAATCCATGTAAAAATGGAAAATCCAAAAAGTCAATGCTCTCTTGAGATATTCTATTTTGTGATGACACTCTACCTGGCTTATCTTTTTAAAGAAAAAATTATGAAAACCTATGTGTATAGGAAAGTTGAAATAACAGTGGAATGATTAGACAAATTTAGAAACATACTTTGCTTTGAATATAACTCAAAAAGATCTAATTAGTGCTGATTAAAGTTTGTATTCAGAATGCCCTTACCTTTCTCTAAGCCTATATTTTTTTAGATCAGGATTCTTCTGCCATCACTCTCAGAATTGGGTTCTGCTTTTGTTTTTCTTCCTTGCAATCTGTTCATCAGCCCTTATTTAAAACACTTCTTTCCATTTTCCCACCAGAATCAAAGTGCCTTTTAACCATGTAATCATTAATAACTTAGTGACATTCAAGCTGTTGCTCATAGATATTTGATATTCCCCAACTTTTTATCATATGGTTATTTTAGTTTTATACATTTGATTATTGCATTTTTCCAGAAGCACAAGATTATCATTGAATTTATGACTTGGGGGACCGTCTCATTCAATTTTACTACCCAGTTGTCATTGCTATTTGAATGCCTGAAATTTTATTTATATTTCTTGATTCCAGTGCACTTTGCAATTGTGAATGTGTGATTAGGAGCATTTATATTTAGAAATTCTTGTCTTCATATGCTTTCCAGCTTCCATATTAGATCTTTTTGGGTATTGTCCCTTCTGAATCTTCACATCAGACAGAAAGACATGAAATTTTTATATCTCTATCCAGACATTGAATCAGTGGCATATCTCTTGTGCATTTAATAAATAAATTGCATCCTTATTTATTTATTTATAGCTTGTCTTAAAGTACTTCTTTTTGACAATCTACTTTCAACACGATTGCAAGGTTTTCATTTGATGTTAGCAGTTCCACTTCTACTGAGAGAGCTAAACCCCTTTACACAGATATTTTTTTCTTTATATTTAAATTTCTGTCCAGAATATGACTGCATTTGTTTGATTTTCCCTAAGGTCTGTAGTTCAGTCATTTGCTCCCTCTGTATTTCTGCCCTTACTTCGTAGTTGAAAGCAGATTTCCGAACACAA